CCAGCGTGGTACTTCCCGCTACTAGATAAATGCTAGACGAATCTTCCAGCGTTCCGTTTTGGATCGTGGAGTGAGAGGATCCTACCGCAACCTAATCTAACACACTCTACAGTCCCCTCCCGGGAGTTCAGACTACGACCTTTGATTGTGATCTCTTCGTTGATTAGTTTTCATAGCTTTCTAATCCTCTCATAACTTTCATTCTCTCAAACTCAAACACTCGAAAGATCTTTACACTAGCTTTAGCGTAGTGCATTTTATAACAACACAATAGCTTTCAGCTACCTCAACCTATTCCTCAAGAATGCCCAAAGACCTTACACTCACTTCGAGTCTAAGCTGCGAGCGACAAAACCAATCTCCTCTCATCGACCCGCACGATGACGGACGGAAATCGAACGATACATCTACGCTCTAAACACCTACAAACTTCGCCACTGCAGAGATGCTAACACGCCAAGTACAACTTCAAGTCCAAATCATCAATGGACGAGACCCACCAGACCAATCAAGTGGGCTGGACGCATGGAGAAGTCTTCGTCGCTATGCCATTGCACGCCTCGCGACAAACAAAACCTCCTAAGGAGTGACTTCTAGCTCTGCAAAGAGCAGTTACGAATCTAGCTCTTGCAGGCCACCGTGAACACGTTGGAATAGCCTGCGCAATTGCTCAACGCAATTCCTCCACGCACATACGGGTGCTGAAACGAAGCCACTTTCCAAAGCACTTCCCAAAAGCCTGGGTACGGAGCAGCTCAGGCCGCTTTGGCGACCTGACATTACGTTAGGCATAAATGCGTCTGTCTACGAATGTGTCCCTAAACTATTAAAAGCAGAAACGTTCATGCGCCGCAAGATGCAAGCCTGCATGATATGTCCACTCGGCTTTTGTCAACAAACTCAGTCGGATGAACACCTGATGAATTCCTCGTCTACCAACCTTTTGACCCAACCCAAACGTTAACCATGACGAGTCAATTGACATTGTTTGTCATAGAATTCCACGCTCGTGGATGAAGAAGATGGACGAACAGGACATTCGATCCTCCAGCTCCTATCGGAGAAACATTGGTTTCTGCGAACGCATTGGAATCCTCCGAAGACTTTGACAAGGGCGGTAATCCCAAAAAGCAAGCCCTTATGAAGAGAACACAGCAAGAAGTACAAGTATACTTCGCAAAACGACCACTATTCAGAACAGAAGAAAGTAAGAAAAATGGTGCGACATCACACGAGTCTTCCTCTACTCATAAAATCTCTACTCTGACTTTGAAGAAGCTCAAGTGCAAAGTCTCAGTCCTCGTCTAACACGATAACAAGCCAGCGTACAACAAGAACAAAGCTTGGAAACGTAAGTCTGAAGATGCCAAGTCCTACACCAAGAAGTAACTCTCTGTTCTCATGAATAAAGTTTCCAACGCTGCTGTCAAGGCTGATCGCAAGAAAAAAGCGAATGCAACCATGTTGTCAAGCGCAAATCACAAGACTCTGACAACGAGGACGACTCTCTGTTGGATCCATCAAAATGATGGAAAAGAAAATGGCTGCTGTTGAAAAGGCGCTTGCCGAATTCGTCTTCAATCATTCGGATGGAGAAATCTCCGTCTTAGGATTAGGCCAGGATGATGATTTAACGGAACCATTTCCGATTTTCTCATACCAAAGCTGTTGAAGATATCTCACTAAATAGTAAACATGATTTGTTTGCAACTAACGAAGTCTACTGCAAATTAGATGTTTGCCTAGAAGCTGCTCAGTTAGATTCTGACGATCTATTAACTAGACTCTGATGATCTGTTCAGCATCGTTTACTTCGTCCATGGCCAACAAACTCATCAACGTCGCAAGACAAGAGACCGAAAAACTATCGTCTATGTTAGATTTAACAGACGAGTAAAAGGGAAACGAAAACCTATTACACTCTGTTGCTTACTGATACAGGAGCATCCGGAACTTTAATACTCAAACTCATGCTAGAGTTTTACTTATGAAGAATCATGGGGGCGTCCAACATTACGGACTGCTTCTATGAAGGAATTGAACCCCGCACGAAGTGTAAGGGCACACTCATTATTCCCGAGTTCCGCGAGACTAGAATTGTCAAGTGGATTTTACACGTCACCAAGAAATTGGGGGCGCAAGACATGATCCTAGGTCAAGACACTCTCTGCGACCTAAGAAACAAGTTCGATTTCACTACAATGTCATTGGGGTGGAACCGCACATTTTTCCCTGCGAAAGATGGCAACAGCAATAGAAAGGAGAACTTCTCCATTCTCGATCCTGCAGCTGTCAGCGACAATGCAGATAGTCTCAAGAAGATTCTTGAGACGACCATTACGAACAGATAGACTTAAGGCAGATGTGCAGAGTCGAAAAACCCATTAAATAAGGAAGAGCAAGAAACGCCTTATGCCTTTCAAACCAAGTGCTTCGACCCAGTCGGGGATACTTTGGGAGAGTTGCGAATGGACGACTACGAAGCAGAAATTCGTCCCGACGCTAAATCCTATTATACTAGGCTCACCCTACTCCACGGGTCCATACAACAACTCTTAAGAAGGAGGTTGAACGTCTCTGCGAGCAAGGAGTACTCAAGAAGGTGAATCGTTCCAATTGGGCGGCACCAACCTTCAACATTCCCAAGAAAGAGGGATTTGTACGATTCATCTCTGATTTTCGGGAACCATACAAACGGATCAAGCGGAAGCCTTATCCTATCCCAAAAAATACAGGACATCCTCTTGAACCTAGATGGATTCAAGTGTGCTACTAGTCTAGACCTGAGCACGGGACACTACCACATCGAGCTTGTCACCTCACTCGAAGCAACTCTGTACCATCGTGCTCCCGTTGGGAAAGTACAAGTACCAGAGGTTGCCAATTGGACTATGTAATAGTCCCCACATCTTCCAAACGAAGATGAAAAACTCATGCACGACTTGGAAATTGTCCGTGCATACATTGATGATCAACTCATCCTAACGGAAGTCGATCCAGCGGATCGCGTTGAATAGTTAGATGACTTTTCCAAAGACTTCAAGAAGTCGGGATTTAAATCAACACTACCAAGGCCTTCCTCGAAAGGAAGAATTGGAGTATCTAAACAATTGGACTACTCGAGAGGGAATCAAACCCTTAACTAAAAAAAATAATAGATGCGATCCAGCTATCGCTCCGCCTACGAATAGTAAGGAACTTCGTGGATTCGTGGGACCAATGAACTACCAAGGGCTGCTCCAAGGCAGCAGACGGAGTAACCATCATTCTGAAACAGATGTGGGTTACACAGTATCCATGACCGGTCGTCATGGAACAGAGAACGTGAGTCTCGCGCAGAGGTCGAGAAGACTCTCCGGGATGAACATGACTTCGTCGCAAGTTCAGCACCACACGTGTTCAATCGTGACAAGACTCACCACATCGGTTTCAAAGCAAACCGGAAATACATTTAAGGAACGTCGCCAAACGACTTATCCAGAAACACAACGATAAGGAGAACACGACACGTGTCCCTCATCACAACCATGACGAAACTATGATGATCATCAGTATCAGAACCGTTAGTACGGTCAGCCAACGCACAAGTCCTTACCACACAGAACGAGTCATAACATGCACTGTACGGCTCCGATATACTACCGCCAGTAGCGCACAGTCTACCAGACTTGGAACATTAGTATTTACACCATACAAGGCCTGATCCCCTTGTAGGATTGCCACCTTGCGACGCACATGTCTACATCAATCTCCGGAGAGTTGCCCGCACTTAATCTTATGTCCTCCTTGTCCGACTGATGTCGTGCCTTCCGTGACCCTTGTCAGGGGGCGAATGCAATACACGGCTCTTAGCCCTTATTCGCGGACTCGATTCTAGATAGGGGTTTGAGTTCGACTCTATGACTGAGTCTCTCTGTAATAGTCATTGAGACAGGGTTCTCAATGACCGCTCTAGTCATACTAGGTTTGATGATGAAACATCGCTCTTAGATATTTAGCCAGCGTGGAGTCTTTCCACGCTACTAGATAAATGCTAGACGAATCTTCCACGCGTTCCGTTTTTGGATCGTTGAGTGAGTAGGATTGCTACCGCATAACCTACTCTATCACACTCTACAGTCTCCCGCGGGAGTTCAGATCGACGATCCTTTTTGATTTGTGATATTTCTCTTTCTCTGTGTCTGCTATTTAGGTTGGGTGTATTAAGTCTTTTTTGTTGCTCGTTCTAATGTACTTACTTTTCATGTTCGTCGTTGCCTTCGAATAGAGATGTGCATACCATCGTGTCTGAATAGAATAATTCTGGCTGATGTACACGTTGTCTCTGTTTGGTGGGGGGGATTAGCGGCACTGGTGTGTTGTTTTAGTGTGTTGTTTTATTTAATGGAGATCTAGGCGTCACTACAGAGATATAACCAGAGTCCTCTTCTCGTCTTTCTCTGCTGTTTCAATACCTATGACATCAGGCTTTATGGAGATGCGTGAATCTTTTCTTGCAACCCTTATGATGTATCCCGATAGATTACTAGTCATTTCGTGATCGCGACTATGGAGCATATTGCCTCTGCTAAGTGCATGCAACCCTCCGGCAAAACGTTTTCCGACCAAACAGACCGCTTCTTCATCCCTTCCAGCACCGGCAATAACTATCTCTTTGTGCTATACCACTATGACAGTAACTCCATCCATGCAGAACCAATGACGAATCGCACAGCCAAGTCCCATGTCAAAGCCTACACGGCCATTACAATACAGGGCTAATGCAAGATTTGCCCATCCCCCAACAAAAGCAGCAAGCAGCAAACTAAAATATCCATGACTGGATGACTCCTGACTCAACCAGAAGCCGTGGATTTGCGATCTTTTGACTTCTTGGGAACTCCATTGCTGCAGCTGCTGGCTTCGTCGGTTCAGTTCATCACTACGAAACAGCACAATCAGACCCTCCAAGCGAGTTACCTGAACAAGAAGTAAGTGGTAGAGACTGCTGCCGCAAGAAGATGAACCCAGCAATGATGAGGACTGTTTCGGTGACGGCGCGGCGATTGCTGATGGCCAACAACCGACCCGTTCTGCAACAATTCACTGCCGTTCGTGGCTATCGAGGCGACAGCGGTGATGGCGAAACCAACTTGTCGGCCGCAGAAGAGGCATTGGTCCGCAAGGGCAAACCCGTCGACGAGGCGATTCGTGCCCGACACGTTCGACCAGTCCAACTGAAGGAGTTGTCTCCTCAGAATTTGGCAGATTTGCAGGCGAATGCTTCTGGCAGTGGAACCAGCACGCAAGACTTGGAGTTGGAAATTCGCCGCAAACGATTGATTTATCGTGCCAAACAACGTGGCTGGTTGGAAGTCGATATCCTGTTGGGAGCTTGGGCGAGTGAAAATGTTCCACAATTGGAAGGAGATGAATTGGATCAATTTGAGGATTTCTGTAACGAAGAGACAATCGACATTTACAACATTATCACGCTTCGCCTTGATGTGCCCGACCACATGAAGCGTCCTGATGGCCAGGGTGTTGTGGAGAGGATTCAGGAATGGGCCCGGAGTAGCCCTCTTGGAAAGGCCGATCCGTCTACCTACAAAAAGGTCAAGGAATCCGCCAAGTTGATTTAAGAATATATTTACCGGGTGGTATGAGAGAAGTGAATGGTGCATGTACCGTACCAGGTAGCGGCGCAAAATTAAGTGTTACTTGAAGAACAATGAAATGGAACGAAGCTCGGAGAATGGTTTCATGTATTGAGAGTTATTAGAGAGATATAGAAAATCCATGGAAACTGGGCGCTTTAGCTTGAATGATTGACACCATTCGCTTGGTCGTCCATCACCCGCGGCGTGATGACCAGCTTCGTTCTAGTCGACAAATCAGTATTCTGAAGAGAAGTAGTCTTATGCACACGAGAATATAAATTTTGCTTCGGAACTGCACAGTTTGGCTTCGTCCCTGTGAACCGCACTATGCATACGAGTACAATTCTTCAAACACTTTGGCGCATTCTTGAAAATCGTCTTCTCTAGCTCATCATACATCTCGTGGGGGCCTGATGCCAGTGAATAGTAGTTCTTTGCCAGGAGAAGCCCAACAAGAAGACTTCATGTCATTCTGTGGCCAAAGCCGTTGGTGTGCATCTTAATGCAGCTCTCCATTCCCATGATGAAGGCTGTGGACTTATGCCTGTGAAAAAGGATAGTTGATTGATTCCCGGATAAAGGTTAGGGCGCACCATGAACTAATCATCTATCTTGTCTCTCACGAACCGAGCCATTCCAGTGTGGACGTTCTGCCTGGGTTTATTTGCACTAGAAACGGGGATCTACTAATTCCTTACTGGAGGAAAGACTGGAATCAGAAGGAGTTGAGAACAAGTAGAGACTTGCTAACAATACTGAAGCATACTACAATGATTGGTCATGGCCACCAGCCTGGCACAACCGGGTCACTCCAAAGGATTTCCAAAAGTCTGGCATCCGATGCGCGCTTCTTGTCGACGGACCATTCGTTGTGCAATCTATCACACACGGATACACAGAGGGACTTTTCTCCGATGGCGTGTAATCGCCTACCAACATCTTTGGCTCGATCCACGTCTCCAGGAGCCCACGAAAGCTCCTCTCCATCTCTCTTCCTTTTT